TTTTGATCCACTTGCTATTTAGTAGCATGTTATTCAGCCTCCATGTATTTGTGTGCTTTCAGGATTTCTTTTTATAATTGATTTCTAATTTTACAGTATTGTGGTCAGAGAAGATGCTTGATATGATTTCAATCTTTTTACATTTATTGAGACTGGTTTTCTGTCCTAACATGTGGTCTATCTTGAAAAATGTTCCATGTGCACTTGAGAAGAATGTATATTCTGTTGCTTTGGGGTGAAATGCTCTAAAAATATCAATTAAATCCAGCTGGTCTAAAGTGTCATTTAAGGCCACTCTTTCTGTGTTGATTTTCTGTCTGGCGGATCTGTCCATTGGTGACAACGGGGTATTGAAGTCCCCTACTATGATGGTGTTACTGTTGGTCTCTGTATTTTTGTCTGTCAAAATCTGTTTTATATATTTAGGAGCTCTTATGTTGGGTACATAGATGTTTACTAGGGTTACATCCTCTTGTCGAATCAATCCTTTTATTACTCTGTAGTGTCCTTCTTTGTCTTTTATTGTAGTCTTCATTTTAAAGTTTATTTTGTCTGAAATAAGTACTGCTACTCCCGCTTTTTTCTCATTTCCAGTAGTGTAAAATATCTTATTCCATCCCTTTACTTTCAGTCTATGTGTGTCTTTTGATCTGAGGTGAGTCTCTTGTAAACAGCATATGCATGGGTCCTGTTTTCTTATCCACTCAGCCACTCTATATCTTTTGATTGGAGCATTTAATCCATTCACATTTAAAGTGATTATTAATAGGTGCATATTTATTGCTGTTTTGTTATTTGTATTTCTGATCTTCCTGGGTTAGCTTCCCCCCCCCCCTTTCTTCTGTTTAAAAAAGCCCTTTTAGCATTTCCTGCAATGCTGGCTTGGTGGTAGTGAATTCCTTAAGTTCATTCTTTTCTGAGAAGCTCTTTATCTCTCCTTCAATTTTAAGTGATAGCCGTGCTGGGTAGAGCAATCTTGGTTGTATGCCTTTATTTTGCATAACTTTGAATATTTCTTGCCACCTCCTTCTGGCCTGCAGAGTTTCTGTAGCAAAGTCCGCTGTTAGTCTTATAGAAATTCCTTTGTATATAATCTGCTGTCTTTCTCTTGCTGCTTTTAGGATTCTATCTTTGTCTTTAACCTTTGCTATTTTAACTATGATGAGTCTTGGTGTGAACCTGTTTGGGTTCAGCTTGTTTGGAACTCTCTGCACTTCCTGGGTTTGTATGTTGATTTCCTTCACCAGGGTAGGGAATTTTTCAGTTATTATTTCCTCAAATACATTCTCGATCCCTTGTTTCTTCTCTTCTCCTTCTGGTATTCCTATGATGTGAATATTGTTGTGCTTGATGTTGTCTCAAAAGCCTCTTAAATTATTTTCATTGTTCCTTATTCTTTTTTATTTTTGTTGTTCCAACTGGTTGATTTCTGCTATTTTGTCTTCTAAATTACTGATACGATCCTTTGCTTCATCTAATCTACTGGTGATTCCTTCGAGCGTGTTCTTCATTTCAGTTATTGTATTCTTTCATTGTAACTGGTTGTTTTTTATGATTTCTGTATCCTTCTTTATGTCTTCCCTAAGTTCCTTAAACATTCTTATCATCAGTGTTCTAAACTCTGTCTCTGAAAGGTTGGATACTTCTTTTTCATTTAGTTCCATTTCTTGAGGTCTCTTCGGATCTTTTACTGGGACATGTTTCTTTGTTTCTTCATTCTGGCTGTCGGTCTGTGATTGCTTCGATAGATCACCAGTGAGCGAGTCCATTTGCCGGCTCCACTGGTTCTTCTGCTGGCCTCAGCGTCACCGAGTTGAGCAAAGAGCGTCCTCACTAATTTCTATTTCCAGGTATCGTAGAACTCCTCTTCCCGGAAAAGTAACTCTGGGCTGGTGAGCGCGGTGTGGGCTGGAGGATCTCTTCCCCAACCAGAGAAACCTCCCCACCACTGAGGTGTCCCCTCACGGGGTTCACCCTCTCTCATCCGCCCCTCCAAGCAGACTCGACATGGCCTCCTCTTTAAGTCTTTCATTTAGAGGTTTTGTTCATCTAGTGTTCAGGGAACTTCTGAGGTTAAATATCTTATAAATTATTTGTAACTTTGGTGTGATCCTGGGAGGCAGACGGCACAGCGTCTGTCTATTCTGCCATCTTATCGGAAGTTCTCACCATATTTGTTAATCACAGTTCATAGTCCTAGCTACTGTACTATGTTGCTTTACACACACATGCACACATGTGCATGTACACACACACACACACACACAATTCGCTTATGGATCCCCATTGCTTTTAAAATGGGCCATACTATTTATAATGGCCTAAGGCTATTATTTTTATCTCCTGTAACCTCTGCCTGCCTCTCCAGCCTCATCTCTTGCCATTCTCAGTTTTGCAGTTCAAGCTGTATCCACCCCAGTCTGCTTTAGTTCCCCATACAAGTCATGCTCTTTTTCACCTCTATGGCTGTAGTTGTATTATCCCCTTTTCTTTGACTCTTTGCTCCCTTTCTTTCTCCTCCCCTGTACCTAGCTAACTTCTTTTTCTTTAAGTATACAGTTCAGTGGTATTAAATTTATTCACATTTGTGCAATCATCACTACCATCTATCTCCATAGCTCTTTTTATCTTGTAAAACTGTAACTGTGTACCCGATAAACAATAGCTCCCCATTTCCCATTCCCATGAACTCCTGACAACCACCATTCTACTTTGTGTCTCTATGATTTTTGACTTCTCTAAATAAGTCATATAAGTGGAATCACACAGTATATTTCTTTTGGTGACTGCTTATTTCACTTAGCATAATGTCTTCAAGGTTCATCCATGTTGAAGCATAATGACTGAATAATAATGAATGTCAACTATAATTATATATATATATATATATATATATATATATAGTCACAGGATGTGGAGTACAGCATAGAGAATAGAGTCAATGGAATTGTAACAGCTATATATGATGTCAGAGGGGGTAGTAGATTGGGGGGGAGTTATCACTTTGTGAGTAGTGTAAACGTCTAACTATTGCATTGTTTTGTACACCTGAAACAAACAAACCAAAAAAAAACACAGAAAATAAAAAGATTGGTGAGGTTGTGGAGAATTGGAAACTTTGTGAACTGTTGATGTACTGTGACATGGTATACAGCTGCTATGGAAAACAGTATGGTGATTCTTCAAAAAATTAAAACCTAGCTAACTTCTATACACCTTAAATGCTCCACTCAGTTATTGCCTCCTCCAAGAAGCCTTGGCTATGCAGTGCAGATTTGCCAGTCCCTTGTGCCCTATTCTGCTTTGCTCATATCCATTTTAGTGCCCTTACTGGATTGTTTTGTAACTGTCTTTTTATACTTCTGTCTCCCTCAGTAGGCTGTGTACCCCCAGCGCTTTTCCCCATTGCACCCAAATATCTTGCTTTACCCTTCTACTTTAGTGTATGTTTTTCTAGGACTTTTGCATTCCAGACTTTGGCATACACTATAATGCCAAGAAGAGAAGAAAGGGACTATAAGATTTTGACTCTTTGTGTTTGACTGTGTGAAAAATTAATATGAGGACATACTGGGGATCATGAACATCTTTGGAGAAATTGAGATCACGTGAAAAATATATTTTAGAGCTTAGTTTTGGTAGTTTGGTAAGAGTAAACTGCTTTAGGGTAGGCTAGACCCCCAAATATATAACGGCTCAAACAGTGATGTATTCCAAGACAGGTATTTGTGGTGAGCAGGATAGCTCTCCTCCACATGGTCAGTGAGGGACACATGCTGACAGAAGTCCCTAAGTCATCCTAGGTTACCACATCCCAGTCAGCCAGAAGAGGGAAAGAACATGGAGGAGCACACATGGGAGACTTCTATAGGCCAGGCCTGGAGGTACCACTCATCATTTTTCTGAACATTCCATTATCAAGAATTTAGTCGGTGCCACACCTTACTGCAAGGGATACTGGGAGATGGAGTCCAGTCATGGGCCCAAGGAAGCTAGTGATCTTTCTAGATATGTTAACCTTAAAGTTGGTCTAGTAAGATATATGGTGCATATCTATTTAACCTTTGCCACGGGAAGCTGGAGTAGTCAAATATAGGCAGTATTTAAAACCATGGCTGACAGCTGAGCTCCCTATTGAGTTGCTTACCAGGAAAGAGCTGCTGGAGGATGACTTGCAAAGCTGATGATCCCTTAACCATTAATCACTGACACTTTGTAGTTTGCTTTTAGTAAAATTCCAGCTAAATTAGTATACAATTTTATAATATTGGCCCCCAAATATACTTTCCTCCTTTGTATGTCTAGACTAGAGAGAGTGTTAAATAGATGGCAAAGTAGCAACCTGATTCATTGCTAGCCAACCAAGAGGTAATTAGAACCAAAGGGGGGAAAAGATAAAATCAAAAAGGAACTCATTTCCATTCCAAACCATAGCCACAGGCATGAGCTGATTCCCTGCCAGTTTGTGTTTGTCCAAAGCACACATTTGTTGATGATTTCATGTAGGCCAGGAGAATGAGTAAATGGGAATCAATTTGAAATGAAATATCCCCGTAATTCTCTGCTAAGAGGCATGTAAATTCCCTGGAGAGTTTTGTAAAACAGCTAACCAGGCTCTACCCCCAAATGAGGCTCATTTGGTTGGCTCGTGGTCCCACCTGGGAATCTGGATTTTTTAAAGTCCTCTGGATAATTCTGATGCAGTGCCAGATTTTGGGAACCATTTCTTTAACATTATGGGAGGGGAATAGAAAAGCATGTCAAAGCACAAACCAGAGTGATTTTGTTAAATATACAAAACGAGTAATCCTAAGGAAGATCTAGTCTCGTAGCTTGATATATAGAGCTGTGCCTGGGGTTAGACCCATTCATGGGGAACCAGAAATCGGGCCTCTTTTGGGGTCTGGCCATGCAGCTGGCTGTAAACTAGGAAAGGTATTATGCATGTAGACTTCCTCCCGGTAATCTCAGGTGCCTAACTTGTTCTCTTGTTTTCCCAGTTTGTTGCACAGCCGAATTGCCAACAGTTGCTTGCCACTCTGTGGTATGACGGTTTTCCTGGATGGCGGCGGAAACACTGGGTAGTCAAGCTTCTGACCTGCATGACCATTGGGTTCCTGTTTCCCATGCTGTCTATAGCTTATCTGATCTCACCTAGGAGCAACCTTGGTCTGTTCATCAAGAAACCCTTTATCAAGTTTATCTGCCACACAGCATCGTATCTGACCTTTCTCTTCATGCTTCTCCTGGCTTCTCAGCACATTGTCAGGACCGACCTCCATGTACAGGGGCCTCCGCCAACTGTTGTGGAATGGATGATATTGCCTTGGGTTCTTGGTGAGTCAAAGGGACCAAGAGATATTGCCAGGCTGACTGCTGGTCCTGGCTAAAGAAACTGCTGGAATAGGCAGTTGGACTGGCCCTGAACTAGGGCACCTTCCCTCTGTGCAGTAGGGTATTCCTCTGTTTGGAGTCTCGGAAATGTGGTTTCTTCTTCCCCAGGACCTCAGTATTCACTCAGTATTTTCTGGTTCACAGAGAGATTGGCAGTGCACCCAGGGTTTATTTCTGCTAACTTAACATCATCAAGGACAAGGAAGATGTGTCTGTCAGTTGCTTTAGTTGGAAAGCCAGTGTCAGTCATGACAGGCCTCAGGTGAGCTAGGCAGGGCAAGTGCTGATCAGTCTAGTCAATGCCCTCTTTCCCATAACTTGGGAAGGGGACACTTGTATCTACTGCTTTCTCATGGCTATTCCACACAATCTCAATCCTTATTCAGAGTAGACACCCTATTTGGATACTGATTTAACAATCAGGAGGAGAACCTAGGAAATGCACACAATTCATGGTAGCTGCCTTATTAATAGTGTCCAGGCATAATTAGATTGCACTGGACTCTCCAATACATTGCCATCCTCCAAATCCTTGCTACTCAAACTGTGATCTGCAATCCAGCAATGTCAGCATTACCTGGGCACATGTTAGACATACAGAATATCAAGTCCCACCCTGGAACTATGGAATCAGAATCTGTGTTTTAACATCATCCTCAGGTGACTCATATGCACCTCTGCTTTCTACATTCTAAGGCTAAAGAAACAGCTATGTTATCAGGCACAATTCCATGAAACCGCCACACAATGAGAAGAAAAGGGGGAAAAGGTGATTCTAAATTATTTGGAGCCCCATTGCCTGGCTTCAGCTCCAACATCTGGTACTTTGGTCCATGGTCAGCTTGCTCACTTCAAAACTTGTTGAGAAGTTTTCCCACAGCAGTTCTCAACCTTCCTAATGCTGCGGCCCCTTAATACAGTTCCTCATGTTGTGGTGACCCCCAACCATAAAATTATTTTCGTTGCTACTCTATAACTGTAATTTTGCTACTGTT